GTAATAGCACTTCAAAGTCTTTTCCCTCCTCTTTTGAAGCTTCAGGGAAATAAATAGCAAGGGGAGGTCCCAAGCTGTTGCTGCTGCACATTAAGTCCATAGTAATTTCCCAATGGAGAGATCACTTAGACAGTAATGGGAAGTAATAGGGGGAAACCAAGCAGGGCTTCCATAAAATCACTGGAAACAATTGGAATAATTCATTGGTATTTCAAGAAGCCAGTGAAACCTGCCTGAACCAATGAATCCCAAACCAGAACAGGGAGCCAAGCAGAATGCCAGGGCCCGGAGAGCAGTGCCCTGCCCGTGTGAGGCATTTCTCTGCCACCCCATCTGAGACAGCCCGGGGGCTGGCCCCAGTGCAGCAGGGTCTGTCAGAGGGCTGGTTGTGTGGTGTTCCTGCTGTCTGAGCCCTGGTCCCTCCTCACTTGTGCGTGTCTTTTCCACAGGGCTCCGCTGTTACGCCAAATTCCACCGGAACCGAAGAGTGACCCGGAGGAAAGGGCGCTGTGTGGAGCCCGAGTCGGCCAACGGAGAGCAGGGATCTTTCATCAATGTTTAGGAGGGGGGGACTCCTGCCCGGAGGGTCGGGAGCTGGGCTCAAACTGTTCATACCTAGCAATGGGAATTAGAGGAAAAAGTTGAGCAAATGACTGGAGCTGCAGGCTCTGGACATGCCAGGTTCCAGCTGGGCTGAAACTCATGTTATTTATAAATAGAGTGGCCTCAGCCTTTTCCATAGCAGACTGCATTCCCCCTGCCTTCCCTCAGCACATTCGTGCCACTGAGTTGGGTCCCCCTCTCCCAGTTGGTAAGAAATGATCATTACTCCTGCTCTGATGGTCCTGGCAGGAACAGGGTCTGCAGTTTCCTCTCTTCCTCTCAAAGGAGTTAAGATGTGGAAGATTGTTCATGGCAAAGGAAATATGAGCTTAAAGTTTACCCCTGAATTATTACTTGAGAACAAAGGTAGGTTGCCCTTAAGGATTGGAGGTTCCTAGAGGAGAGGAAACTTGTAGCCTCCAGACGGAATCAAAGATGGGAAATGGATGAGCAGGAACCTGGCTGTCTAGATGAGAGAGGACCCTCTGACAGAGCTCTTGCTCTCTCCCTTTTTCACTGCTTTAGACATATTCCCCAGCTGTTACACACTGCCACTTCCTACCTGTCATCTTTGGGACCATCCAGTCCCACTCCATCCTTCCTTCTTTCCTTTCTTGCTTCCAGAGAACCACCTGGTTTCTGCAAGGATGTGGCAAGACATCCCAGCCTGCAGCTCTCACTCATTTAGTTATCCTGCCAAGTCTGTTATTTTTAATGATTATTTTTAGGAGCTTTCTGGGGAAGTGATAGTTTTCCTAGTGAGCCAAAAATAAAGTTTTTGGTAACAGGAGATAGGGACAGGCTGTTCCATTGTAGTAAATCCTGTGACATGTTGCATGTGTGTTTCCATGATATGTAAATAAAGATATGATAGATATCCTTTGTGCAACTCTTTTGCTTCTTTGACTGCACACAAGGATGTGGCAGAAAAGCCAGTAAGGGAGCTGGTCAGCAGGTAGCACTGATGATATCAAGTAACCACAGAGCAATTGTGCTACTTGATAGAAAAATTTCTCTACCCAAGGTGGGGATCCAAGCTTCCCTCTGTCCTCACTCAAATTGCAGCTAACAGTTTCTGCCTGCTGTAGGCATCCAGATGTTTAAAACTTCTTTATATTAATACTTAATCGCTGACTTCAGTGATATATTGGAGCAACACAGGCTACCTGTGTTAAACTGCAGTAGTGTTAGTTGGTAAAAATGTTCTTTTCTACTGCTAACACTGCACTACCCTGACTTCTGGGGGGACACAGCTCTGTCGTCTTCCATATTGAAGAACCTGGAGATGTACAGCACTTTCTGTAAGAATAGAAATATTAGTCCTGGTGCTGAACCCTCTTTACATAGCCTTCCTAAACCCCTCTGTGTTCCATTTAGGTAGGCAAACCTCCATTTTGCACTCCTGTTTATGCTGTAGCGTCACTCTGCATTGTGTATTCACTCAAAGGCTGCTAACATAATACTTTGCATCTCTAATATAATGAGTGCCCAGTCATGGCTACAGAGAGGTGCTGTGAATACAACATCAGTTCTGACCTGCACTGCTAAAGGAGGAATTTGTACAGGAGCATTTGGGCAAAACCTACCACAGGGTTGCTTGTAGCTATTTAGATTTCTGCTTCCAGCATGACACTCAGCCCAAAAGGCACGAGTTACAAAAGGTGGTTTGGCTCCAGCTCGATGCCACGGCAGCAAGGATTCAGTTTGTTAACCCAGGGAGAGCAATGCAGCCCCTCCCTCAGCCCAGATGCAGAATAGTGGGTGGTGCTGCCAGTGCCATTGTCAGTGGAAGCATAAAGGGAAAAAAGGCTCCTAATTGATCACAGTCAATTGCAGAGCTCTCAGCCCCTCATCTCTTGTGACACCGATGAAAACCACATGCACAGCCATTGTCAAAAGCAGGTTTGATATCACAGTGTGGTGCTTTCCAGGGTAGGAGCTGAGATCTGGGTGGAACAGAGCAACTGAAAGGAAGCAGGAAATTTTGCAGGGTCTTTATCCTTGGTGATTCAGGTATTCCTCGCCCCTTACGCTACACACTGAATCCTAGTAGGATCATGGACAGTGTTTTGGTCAAGACTTTGGTGCAAATCCAACTACAAGCAGGCTTAAACAGCAAGTCTGAATTTTAAGCCAGAGCTTTTAGATGCCAAAAGGAGACTTGTTCCGTCCGCTCTTGCTTTTTCAGCTTTCAGTCTGCTATTTAACTCTGAATATAACGAACAGATTATTCTTAATTGGTGGGATTAGTTAAATGTGTAAGGTCAGTGAAAATTGAGTTAGTTATTGCCCATCAAATCATGGGATTACTGGATTTATTGCTCACAGTGGAGTTTCAGAAAGAGAGCCCGTGACCAAACCTCGTTCCCTCTGAATGAAGCTGTGGTGTTGCAGGGGTGGGGAGGGTGAGCAGTGGGCCAGGCACGTGCTGCACAGCCACAGCAGCGTGAAAAGAACCAGCCTGAATTATGTATCAGCCACATCAACCACTGACTTCGCAATTGCAGAGCAAAGGAAAGCTGTTGAGTAAATAACATGCCAAGGTGTGGAATGCAAGAGCAGCCTGTGATGTAAAACCACAGGGCAACATTTGTACAAGTCCAACCCACTTGTGAGTGTAGCAAAGCTTTTTAGTGCCGCTCTGTGCTGTCTCAAGGGCACGACAGCAGCTGCAGAGCGATACTATCTCTGGGTTATGCTCAGCAACTTTCCCCTTCTTTCCCAGTATGTCCCAGTCACACTGCAGTCAGTGACAGTTCTGCCTGTGGGGAGCATTAGGTCTGAACGAGAGAGGGACACAAATACGAAGTAAGTCTTGATTTATACGTTCTTCTCAACTGATTGCTTGAGAAACTCAAATTAGGAATTCACACAAGCCCAACTTCTCTACTGCCCCCAGAGATTTTAAGCCAGAGCTCTTGCAAGATTTTCTATTGTCTTGAAAGGACTTTGGATTGGGCCCAGACCAGCCATAGCAGGGCTCTGTGCAATAATTTTTAAAGCTAATTGCAGAGCATGCAAGAGAGAGGAGTGACAGAGTACCACACAAACTCCTGCTCTACAGCTACTGCTGTTACCAGCCAGTCCAAGGGTTACACATCATTTTAAATCCCTTCTCCAAGGGTGACAATCAGACATGGAAAAGAGGGGACAGCGTGCAGATTTGACATAATTGTCTCAGCAGCTGCCTGCTCTGCAAATGCTGTTGAATCTTGGGGATGTTGCTGGCAGTTCTCAAAATTATGACTGCAAGAGAGACAAGGAGTGGAAGCACAAATTAAAACACTTGGGAATCATTCTGTCTCAGGTCTGTAAGAGTCTGCATTCATTTTAGCTTGGGGGTGTTTTATTGAAACCCTCTCTCCTCCTTTCCTCCCCCAGTAATTACCCTGTTGTCAATCCACACTGTGTGAAAGTGCTTCAATTTCAAACCCATGCTACACCAAATTGGTCACGTCCATGCCAGTCACTCCCTGCTACATAAAGCCTGGAAAAAACATTGCTTGCATACTTTTTATCAGAAAAAATACGAGGGCTGTTGTTTTCTTGGAATGTACTGAGTGAGCATATGCACTCCTTAAACCCACTTCTGGTGTGTCAGTTCATTTTCTAGAGTGTCAGTGAATCTTGAAGAGTAGTCCCTCAGTGATACCTCAAAGCTCTACTTAGATTTTAGAAAATCAGAGGAGCAGCTTCTCACTGCTGAGATTGGAAAGGACTTTCAAGCGTGGTTGTCAAGATACCACATTAGTGTGACCCTCTCCACTCCCCAAATCACCTTGCCATAGCCTCATTTGCAGTGAAGTTGCAGGAGGAGGCTCCCCACCAGCATTACAAAATGCCTTCAGTCTCCCCTCCAATCCAGGTAATGTTTCTGCTTGCCTATTGTCCACTGGGATTTAAAAGGGAGTTTGTAGAGCCAGGCAAATTCTATGTGCCCTTCCTCACTGCTTATTCAGAAAGGCTCCATGGCTAATATATGTATTTGTGCTGAGCTGGTGCCTTCACTGCTCTCAGCTCCATAGCCAGGGGCACAACTGAGACACTGCTGTCAGCTGCAGCCTTTAGTTACCTTCTGAGCAGACCCCAAGAGAGGGGTGAGAAGGGCAGAACTATGAGGGGTGAGCTTGTCTCTATTCCCATGGGCCAGGTAAGGACAGCAGGAGCAACTGTATCAACTCCTTTACTTCCCTGTGGAATTGCTTCACCTTACCCACCAAGGGTAGAGTGTCCTGAAAATGCAAAGGAAGGCATTTCTGCCTTATTAGCCTCACTTTTATGCTGTCAGGAAGGGAGCCAGCTGTATATTAGGCTTTCACTCAGTCTGCACAAGGCATATCACCAATTGGCATAAAGCAGCTAATTGCTGGATATTAGTTGCAGTGAGCTGAACTCACCTGGACGAGTCTTCTAGTCAGAAAAATCTCCATATCCTGTTTCCAGTCTCCTGGATTGCCTGCTTCTCCCTGCAGCTCTTCTTTAACTTGCCGCTTGTCTTTCTCTCCATGTTTGTGTTGCTTTATCAAGCCTGGGGAAGGGAACAGAGACAATTTACAAGGTACAAGCAGCACAAGGCAGAGATAAAAACCAACCAGCCCCCAGATCTCATAGGTGTGAGAGACGTGCAAATGCATAATGTCTGTCATAGCCCTCATTGTTTTCACATCCACGAGATCATTAAGACATTTCTAAGTCCCTTGAGTGCATGACATGCAAGCCCAAGATATAATAAGCAGGGTTGAATTAATTGCACAATACATTGATGAACAAAATGAAGTAAAGTGCTTTTATTCTACAAGGGGAAAGGAATGCTTTGCGTTAAACAGCGGTCACATCAATCCCAATTATGGCTCAGGCTGCATAAATGATAATGAGACTGTCTCACTCAGACTGAGTGAGAATGCTGAAGGGAGCAAAGACACCCACACACTGCTGCATCCAAACAGTGCTTATCATTCAGCTGGGACAGTGGGATTTGCCTTTATAGCAAACAGTTCTCCTTTGACAGATACCTGTCCTGGCAGAAGGGCATCCCAGTGCACTTCACACCCAATACTGAGCCAGCAAAATGGCTATTCAGTCTCTCTTTACCCTTGCCCCCACTCCAGGTGTCCAATCTTTTTTTAGGGTAAACACCATCTTTTTTTTTAGGGTAAACCTTGTCCTTGATATTATTGGAACCACTAGCATTGATCACATTTGATGCCACTACTTCTGTGAATAGAGGCAAGACTTCCCTACAAGACACAGAAACGTGTCCCTGAAAGACACAGTAATGGAAATGAAGTCACAGCTGATGTGTCATGTGGCAATAGATGAATTATATTTCAATCTTTCATTTGAAAGTGACACATTCAGAGGTTCCTCAGGGGACTTTTGGTTTTTTACTGCTGTTCTGAGCTATGCAGACAGTCAGTTTTGTTCTGATGCTTCCTCTGGTTAGCATCTTCTAGGTTGTTTCATTTTGGCAATTAATGCCTTGGGAGATCTGGAAGCATGCTGCACACAAGCAGTCAGCAGCATTCAGGGCATGGTGAAGGACAAGCTGGATAGAGCTACAGTTGTGGCTTGCTTAAGAATGTCTGAGGGCAAGTTCAGCACTGCATGATTCTCATGCATGCTCTTGCTTGAACTGGAAATGGGACTGAAGGATGACTCATGAATTTCCACATACAGCCCTGCAATGAACCCCTGACCCTGCTCATCCCTTAGAGGCCCCATCTTTTCCTTAAGAAACGACAAGAAAGGAACTGACCTGGTCAGACATTGCAGTCTTACACTGCAGACAAGTAAAGCACATATTGGGCAAGGAAGGGAGGGTTTGAGAGGTGTCATCCTGGCTTTTGGGTTCTGTTAGTTCATCTGCCATACTTAGGGCTGCTGGTATGAACTGGACAAGGAATGGGAAGTTATACTTGAACTGTGTGGGGTTGGGTTGGTCACTTACCAACTCCCCTAGCTTTAAAATGGAATAAGTTTTCTTTCAGAATGAGAAATGAAGAACTTGCGATTTGTACTAGACCTTCATGCAAAGAGTTCAGTCATCTAGTTCTAGAAAAAAATCTAGGGCCAAAGGAAGCCACTAAGTACCTGCCAGCCATTCTAGGCACCTGGCACAACCCCGAACACTGACCTGAACTTGGCTTGGCTATTGGGTGACACAGCTGAGCACATTCAGCACCTTGAAATTGCCTTTTTATTGGTGTCTATCAACAGGTTTTTTGGCACTCCTCGCTTTTTGGTCACAGCACTGATGTGTGCACAAAAGTCTTCTCTTCCTGCAGAAAGCTGTTAAGTCCTATACAGGCCTTAGGCCTCCTGGACACTGATTACAGCCCAAGTGTGATGTCAAACCTTCCCTCACTGCATGGCGCGTGTGAGCAGCAGGAAGAGCTTGGCTGAGTGTTCGGAGTCAACAAACTAATCTGTGTACACTTTTAACTTAGCGGTGGCTTTGGAAACAGAATCACAGAATTGTTGGGGTTGGAAGGGACTTCTGGAGATCATCCAGTCCATCTCCCTGCCAAGGCAGGGTCATCTGGAGCAGGTGACACAGGAACGTGTCCAGGTGAGTTTGAATGTCTCCAGGGAGGGAAACTCCACAACCTCCCTGGGCAGCTGTTCCAGTGCTCTGCCACCCTGCACATAAAGAAGTTGAGGTGTTGAGGTGAAACTTGTGTTTTAATTTATGGCCATTGCTTCTCATTCCGTCGCTGAGCATCACTGGAAAGAGTCTGGCACCATCCTCTGACACGCCTTTGAGATATTGCTATGCATTAACGAGGTCAGAAGCTGTGCGATACACATCAGAGCCCCCAGACCAGCTCCTCGGCTGGAACCCGCCTGACAAGAGGCACCAGTCGGCCCCCAGCCCCCGCAGGCCCGGCCCGCTGTGACCGAGGGCACGGCGGGGGCGGTGTCCCGGCTCCGCCCGCCCCTCGCCCTCCCGGCCCGGCCCAGCCCCACGTGAGCGGCCCCGCCGGCAGTCCCGGGGCCGCTGCCATGGAGCTGCCGGCCGTCAGCCTCAAGGTAGGGGCTGCTCCGGCGGGGAGGGTCCGCTCCGGCCGCCCCCGGGGCCGGGAGGAGCGGGGGGATTGCCGGGGGGCTGCCGGGGGGGCTGAGCCGCGGGGCGCGGCGGCATCCCGGGGACAGGGCGCTTGGCGCGGTCCGCCCTCTCCTCTCCCATATCTCCAGCCTTGCGCCTGGTCCGGAGCCCGGCCGAGGCCCTGCTCGGAGCTGTGGAGGCCTCTGAGGAGGAAGAAGTGGTGTTTGGAGGCTTTTTTTCATCACGTGGGCAAACGCAGCAGAAGTTCTGAACGGCACGAAGCTGAGTCAGGGCAGGGGTAGGTTGGATCTCAGGAAAAAGTTCTTCCCCCGGAGGGTGGTTGGGCGCTGAACAGGCTCCCCAGGGCAGTGGGCACGGCCCTCAGCCTGACAGAGCTCAACAGAGTGTTTGGACAACGCTCTCAGGGACAGGGTGGGATTGTTGGGGTGTCCTGGGCAGGGCCAGGAGTTGGACTCGATCCTGATGGGTCCCTTCCAGCTCGGGATATTCTGTGAGTCTTGGTCACTAAACCCGTCAGGTGATGACTCCAAGGTTCACTCGGACTTCAGGGACATTGTCAGAGTGGCAACAACAGCTCTTAACCAGTGTCCCTCGAGGTTTCCAGCTCAGCTGACCAGAGTTAAGCCAAGATAAAACACTGTAGGAGATCCTGAGCAGGCAAAGTTTTTGCTTGTCAGGCAAAGTATCTTAGAAAGATGAGCCTGCTTACTTTGGGGTTATCATCTTGTAGGTAACTGAAATTGCTTCTCTGTTGGGGAGGGGAGGCTCCAGTTGAGGGCAATTTGGAAATTTCAGGGAATATCTGATAACTAGAGAAAGGAGAAATAAGAGACTTAACCACGGTTACGTTACATTTTTCACTGTGGGGAGAAGCACATCCTTCAGGACAAGCTGGAGGATGCTAAAATCACACTTTTTTTGCTTTTGATGTGGGTGTTTGATATCAAAGCCTTCCGTGCTACCAGACAGGTGACATTTTCCTCTATTTTTTTTTTGTCTTTCACATTTTCAAAGCTCTGAGATTTCTAGGTGAGCGTGCCCTTTTCCAGCTTCACTACTTTGTGTAACTTGTTTAGTACAGCAAGTTTGAGGTGCTTTCTATGGTTAAAGCTTTGCCCAGAGAGTGAAAGCTGATCACATCAGGTTTTTTTAAGCTGTGAGCAGTGGCCGTGGAGCAGGCTGCCTATGGGTTGGGTGTGGGGAGAGTATTATCTCAGCTACCATTATGAATTCAGCTTTGGACAGGAGGGCTTTCATGTGGCTGTGATAAATAAAACCTCGGTGTTCATATAATGATGTTTTCTCCCCCCTCTTACTAGTTCACCAAGAAAAGCAACTTCCCTTGTTAGAGGCAAGTAAGCAAATGGATTTTTCAAGGCCTGGCATGTGGATTATATTACATTCTGGGGACTTGCTGATACTTTGCTCTGACAAGTTTGGACTATTGTGTGATTCCCAGGGCACTAGGAAGATTAAAGATCTTGCCTTCTGCTTTGTCTTTTAACTTGGCTTGATTATTTTTTTCCCAGGCTAAAACAACAGTGAAAAGTAAGGACATTGCATTTAAAAGGTTTGCCAACACGAAATAGATGTTCTACCATGGGAGGTGGAGATAGGGGAGCTGAAAACCACAGCCTTTCAATTAGTGAGTCACTGAGACAACACAACTAAAATGTTGCCTTTCTTCTCTGGTTTCAGGCAAGCGTTTCCCAATCTCTGACTAGATAAGAGTGAGCTTTTCCTGGGCAAACTGTTTTCAGCATTAAGAAATTCCTTGTTGTTGAGTCTGGCAACTCTGGAGCTGAAGAGCTGGGGAATAGGGAGTTAATAATCGTACCTGCATCTTTGTACTGTTCCCGAGTTAGGGCCTGTTTCCCTGAAAAACACCACGAAGGTGGGAAAGATTCTTACTAAGAAAGGGCCTGGAAATAACACACACTGCTACTATTCATTGGCATGATCTGCTTACGGGTTCTGTGAGATTAGAAAGATGAGCCTCGTGATAGAAGTAGCTCCAAGAAAACTGCATGACCGGGCCGTGTTTGTGCCAGAATGTAGCAATATCTCAGCCTTGAGGCCTCTCTTTAAGCTACTTGCAGAGCTATAAAATTAATGTAGCAGGCTTTGCCCTAGAGTGGATGAGGAACATGCTCTGTTCTAACTAACGCTCAGCAAAACATGCGGGAAGCAGCACAGCCCTACTTTTGCCATGAAAACTTGACACCTGGGATCATTGCAATAATTATGGAGAGCCTCAAAATACAAAGTTTGACTTTGATCAAGCCTGGACAATGCCCTACAATCCGTGTGCCTGGAAACACACATTTTGTGCTTAGGCATTTTTAAAGGCTAGGTCACAGAATCACAGAATAATAAGAGACCTCTGTTCAACCTCCTGCTCAAAGCAAAGCGAACTGCAAAGTTAGATCAAATAGCTCAATTCAAAATTCAGCTGAGTTTTAAAACTCTCTAAGAACAGAGCCACAACAACCCTGTTGGATGGCCTGTCCCACTGCCTAACCACTCTCATTATCCCTCTGGTATAATAATGAGCAGCATCCTCACAGGTGGCCACTCATACCTATATTTTGGGTAGTATGCTCTCAGGTGAATATGTCACTCACAGGGTAGATGAGCTCACTCTAAAATAAAAAAAAAAAAAGTAAAATAAAAATTTAGATACAACAAGAAAATAATTATAATTTGGAACCATGTAAATTTTAACTTAGTCAAAATTCAGCGTTGTGCTATGGTCTGTGCTGAAGCATGTTTAAAAGAATTCCTGTTCCAAAGAGTTTCCCATCTAATGAGACCCAGGCAGACCCAGTCTCTTTTTATGCTTGGCAATTAGTTCCATCACATGCTGGGATTTGCAGAGGAGCTAGGAATTCCCCTTAGTTCTCCCCACTTTCCAATGGGATGCTTTTAATCACATTGTCATCCTTCTGCACAGAAGGGATGCGGACAAAGGACCCACCTTTCTTATTTTCTGCTCTCAGCCCTAGTTCAAGTCTTAGGAATTATTTTCTCAAAAGAAGAAATGTATGTCTGTCTTAGGTACAGACTTAAGTCCTTGAACAGATGGAAAAAAATTAAATTCTCTTGCTGTCTTATCAGGAGACTGCCTACAAATTATCTAATCTCACATGGTGACTGTAGCTTTTCATTAACACTATATTTTCTATGTTAAAGCATACCAAGACCACCAGCTAATTCCAGCTGTCATGTAAATTGGACTAATAACCAGGAAGGGAATATCTTGTTTTTATTTCAGCAGTCCCTCATACTATCAGCCTTAGATTACCTGACTTCATGCTGATGACTAAACATACTTCATAATTTAATAACTGCAATATTGATCTAGACAGCTTTAAAGAAAAAAACCACCTTGCCTAATTATGTTAACTGGTGAGCCTTGAGGGGTCTTCTGGGTATGTGACATGCAATTAAATACTACCTAATTAAGAATTTCCCTGATATTGTGATAGTCTCTTGAGTAAATGCTATTTGCATGTCTCCATTCTTATCCAAGAACATCTTGTATTTTACTGATTAGCAGCTTCTCCGTGGTCTCCGTGGTGCAATTTGGGAGAAGGGGAAGTGGGGGGGGGTGGTGAAGCATTTTGTAAGCTTTCATGAACAATTAAAAAAAATTAATTAATAAAAATCTGTCTGAGCCGCGTTTGAAGTTACAGCAAAGTCTGGTGAGTGCTCGGCAGCTGTGCTGGGGCACTGCAGGGAAGGAAGAGCAGAAGACAGAGATTTGCATTGTGTCGTGGCAGAGCAGTGTGAGCCACAGCAATGGGGTCACCCCCAGAGGTTTCCTGGCTGGGCTTCACTTGTGTCACAGCTTCTCAGATCACTCTCTCCTCGAGCAGCTAGTTTTGTTGTAAGGTGGAGCATGGGTAGATGTTTTAAGTCAAGGGATGTGGCAGGATGTCAGTAGATCTTAATTATTATTTTGTTAGTGTCTCAATGCTCCTATCTGCATACAGCTTTCCTGTGTCCACTGAGTAACTTAGGCTTTTGTCACTTCCTCATTTCAAGCTTTCTTTTTCACCTTTTTTGGTGGGAGTGTGCTTCAGAGGGGTTTTGTTACTGTGGGTTTTTTTTTTACACCAAGGTCAGTATAAATGCCAATTGGAGCCTTTCTCACAACTAGAAAAAATGGAAGATTGTCTGTATCCCATGGGTCCTCCGATTTGTCCAGGCTTCAGCCTTTCTTTGTTGAGAGCTGCTAACAGAGCTCATGTTCCATATTGTTGTTTTCACAAATGTTTAGAGAGTGAATATGAGAGACCTCCCTTTGCTGGATTGGCCAGCAGGCTCTGAAGGAGTGAGCACATGGATACAGAAAAAGCCTGAAGTGATATAATGTTGTTCCCGTTTGCTGTCTGAATAAACATGAGTTTGTTTATTCAGAGTATGTCTCTTTGGTTACAGAAATGGAAGAGTATGTCTCCTTGGTTACAGAAATGGAAGGTGCTGGTGAAGAGAATCCTTGTGTCACTTGTTACAGTATAGTCCTTTCTTCTTGGATTTGTCCCCTTGAGCACAAGGATCAGGATCATTAGGGACATGTGCAAAGTACAGAATTTGTGACAGCATTATCTTATTGCTGTTTAGAGCACTGTTGGCATTTGGGCCTGGTGGCTTCACCAGGAGTGAGAAGAGCTGTGTGCTGTGGCAGGATCAGGTTCTCAGAGTCCTGGAAGATACCTTCAGGTCTGTTAACACTGCAGTGAGGTTGAACCACTGCTCTGAACAGACTGGAAGGAGGTAAAAGGAGGATTTACTGAGGAGTGGAGTGAAATTCTGGGAGCTGCAGGCTCAACTATCCATGGACTTCTTGGTGATGGGATGCCAGATTGGTCATGTATAAACTGTGCTAGCCTAGTGAGTCAGATTGCCTGGCTGTCTGTGCAAACTCTTCTGGAGTTCCAAAATCAATAACCCATTTAGAAAAAGACTAAGTGGGCCCTGAATCGGCTGTCAGCAGACATGACAACAAGAATGAACGACTGCAGTGCAGCGCCACAGGAAATTCTCGGCAACAGAAGTGGAGAAAAATGGTTTTGTCTTCACTGTCCCAGTTGCCTCACCGGCTTTCTGCACTGGTTCATGGCTCCAGGGCTCTCTTCCAGACAAGATTGTGTCATTTCATGTGGATCCTCCCAGGGTTCCCCCAACTTACTGACCTGTCTTCCTCTCTGTTTTTTTTCCATAGGCCATCATTCTGGTGCACTGGCTGCTCACAGTGTGGTGAGTGATTGGTGCCTGGCCTGGGTGAGAAGAGGGTATTCCTTCAAACTAGGAATGGGACATTCTTGGGGAATCAGCACTCTGTGTCTGCCTGTGTGCAAGAACATCCTAAACCTATGAGTGAAGTGTTTGTATGGGAACAGAAATGAACACAGACTGTTGCAGGCTAATTGTGAATTTGGTCTGGGTTTTTTTGTCTTGTTTGGCAGGGGATGCATGAATCACATCTTGCCAGCCTCCTATGCCTGGGGAAATTTCAGTGTCCTTGCAGTGGGGATCTGGGCCATTGTGCAGCGAGATTCCCTCGATGCCATCGCAATGGTGAGTGTGAGGGTATTGGCCTCCCCCAGGCTGCTCAGGGAGAGGGTGGGGGGCAGAGTCTCTGAGCCAGTGATAATTTTCAGCTGTTCCCAGTACAGCAGTGAACAAGTCAATTCCCTGTTTGGGTGGGTTTGTTTTTTTTTAAGAGTGTATAAATCTATAAGCTCTGTAAACCATGGTGAGAAGCATTCAGTATCAATTATTTTTCTTCTCAGAGATGAACATACACGATTCTTGCTTTTTTTACCTGCTGTTGTGACTTGTAATGCCAGAGGAGGATTCAAAGTGTTTAATATGCTTGAGTGGAGGGGCTTTATAAAACCCTTCTCTGAACATTAAAGAGATTGGCAAACAAAATTAGACAATTCTGGAATACCTTATGAGAAGCTATATGACAGATGTGAAGAAAATGCACAAAATACAAGACCATTCATGTAGGAGTATCTCTCTACCTGGGGCAGTGTCAAGGAGTTAGCCATGTGTGATACTGGGGTGAGGGATGATTGTGTGAACACAGATCTCACAGGAGATAGATTCTGGCACTGACTGTTACTAGTAGGGGTTAAACCCCTGTTCAGCTCATGTCCCATTCTCTCTCCTTGTTCCAGTTCCTGGCTGGCCTGCTGCTCACAGTGCTCACAGACATCATTCACATCTCTGTCTTCTACCCCACACATGACCATCTCAGCGATACGACCCGTTTCAGTGTGGGCATGGCCATCTTCAGCCTCCTCCTCAAACCCCTGGCCTGCTATTTGGTGTATCGGATGTACCGGGAGCGTGGAGGAGAGTACACCTTTAACATAGGTAGGATGTTTCCTCTGCTCCCCTGTCAGTGTGGGCTGTCTCCTCGGGTGCTGAGGGGCCTTGCTCTTTGGGCCCTTCAGCCTGAGCCCTGTGCAGCAGGATTCTGCCCCTCTTTCAGTGGGGTGCTTACTCTCTCTTGCTCGTGTCTGTTCTCCCATTTTTTGGTTCTGGTGTGTCTTTGGCCTTAAATTTATATTCTTTCTCTCTTCTCATGCAGACCTGGAGTCCTTGTCTGGCAGCCACTTTGCCCACAATGGTATTGTGAGAGGCCTTTCCTCTCTTCCTCCTCTTGCATTTGTGTGTGCATGTTGGAAGCCTTTGGGTGTCCTTTCTTTGCCAACCCTTTCTTTTCCTTCTGGGGAAAAGTAGAGGGATTATCTCCTCTAGCTGGATTATGTACCAGAGGGAAAGCAGCTGGATTTCTAACTCCAAGCTTTCTGTGGGCCTCACATGTCCTTGATTTGGTTTGGACCTCCATCTCCTCCCCTGGAAAATGGGACTGATGTTTATCTCGTGGGGCTTTGCCTGGAGACACTAATTTTTCTCTTGGTTGCACTTGTTAATGATAGTGTGGCAGCCTTGCCAGAGAGAATGGGCTGTGGCTGGATGTTCTGGGTCTTAGCTTTACTAAGCATGCCTGGTGCTAGTTCATGCCTGGGCAGCTGCCAGGGATTGTTTGTTGTGTGGGAATTCATGCTGGCAAAACCAGCAGCCTGGCACAGCTCTGTTTGCCATGGCTGTGCAGGACAAAGGGAGGTGTCACTGCATTACAGTGTTTGGAAGCTGTCACTTGTGCTGCTTTGGGTGTTAGCAAAGATCACACTGCTGTGAAAAGAGGTGGATACCTGCAGAGGAGGAGAAGCCATGGAGGGAAATCATGGCTTGGGGCACTGTGTGCCCTTTGCATCTCTCTGCTAGTGCAGTGTGGGTGTCTTCTCTGCTTGTGAAAATCCAGACAGATGTGTCTTACCTGGGTCAGGAGGCCTGTGAGTCACCTGCAGTGCCTTGCTATGGGCCATGTTTGTGCCAGTTTTTATTAGCTGCTCACTGTGCTCCTCACTGGGATTTGACGTGTGTATCCCATGGAAAGTGTAAGTGTCATTGAGGAGTTCACCCCTTTGCTTGGAGTTTGGGAGGACTCCTTTTCAACCACACTATCCCAAACCAGGCATGGTACTGTCTGAGAGTCTCCTCCCAGGCACAGGGGGGAATTCAGACACTTTGTAGTTGCACATCCTCTCCTGAACTGTCTTTCTCTCACAAGATTTTCAAGATTTTTTCAAACTGTGTGCTGGTTTGTGTTGAATGTGCTTGACAAATTTCCTCTCATTTCCCTGCTATCCGGCATTTTCCTTCTGAACCCAGCAATGCTGTGTTTTTCCTAGTCTTCTGTGGCTCATTTTCTTTCTGCACAAAATCCCTTTTTGTTGCTTGGCAGCATCCTTGCTGCTTAGAACAAACCCCTCATATGGTTTGGTGCCTACCTGTGATTCTCCCCATGACAGGTGCCTGGTCCATAGATAAAGAGCTGTCCATGCACACTCTCTCTTCTTCCCCTGCTCATCCCCTGGACAGTAACATGATTTTGTACAGACAAATTGTTCACAGTGCAGTTGGGAGCACTGCTGGGTTCAAATTTAGTGCCGCGGTGTGCAGACTGCATTGTTGGGAGGAGTGGTTCAGGGATGAATCATGCCTTTAAATCCATGCTGTCAGCTGGCCATGGTTCCTGCTGCTTCTGGCTATGTCTGTTCATTTTCCCATGAGCTCTCATACACTCCTCTTGCTGAAATATGCTGTTACAGGAACCTGTTATGCTGCAATGGGGTATTGTGGGTCTTGCTTTGCACACAGCCATGAGGCTACTAAGAGAGCAGTTGGCAAGGAATGAAGAGACATGCTCAAAAGCAGTGAGTTTCCCTTTGTTGGAAGGATGAGTTTTTTACCTCCTGCCTGTGTAGTGAGGATCACAGAGGGCAGGTGCTGTGGAGCTGGTAGGGCAGCTAACGTGGTGTGCTCCTGAGCTGTTGGCTTCTCCTAGAGGATACAGTTTTTGTGCTTTTGTGTTGCTCCCAAGCTTGTTCTCTTCCATCTCCATGCAGGTGTCACCAGTGCGGGCCAGGATCGCAGCACCTACGAGCCCATTGATCAGTCAGAAGCGCCTCCCCAGTGGCCTCCCCCGGGCAAGGCAGCCCAGCCGCCCTACTGAGGCACCTGGAGCCCCAAAAGGACACTGCCCTCGCCCAGCCAAGGCTTCTGCTCTTCCTCTCTCTGTTCTCATGGAGCCACACCTGCTGCTGAGCAAACGGGACAGGATCTGATACTTCTTTTGCCTCCCTGAAGGTTGGGCAGATGGGTTCCTGCAGTAAGTCCAGAAGATCTCAGAGGTGTCACGTCAAGCACTGTGACTCGTTGTAATCCCAGTACTTTCCTCCTCAATCCCTCCTCAGTATGTGTGACTGGATGCACCTTCTGCAGTCTTCCAGGTCTTGCATTGTGCATCCTCTTTGATGTAAGGGAACCACTAAAAGTACCCCTGGACAAACTGTCTTTAAAAGCCTTATGGACTGCCCTTAAACAATACAGTTAGCCTGCTTTTATGCACATATATTCCCAGGAAACATCTGGGAGTTCTCAAGAGCTGTTTTTGATGGCGTTATTTAACTAAGATTTATGACCTCCTAAGATTTATAACTCCCTGTGTTAGCTGTGGTGGTTTGCACAAAGCTGGGCTTGGTATAAAATGTTCTTAACTGGGCCAGGGAGGTGTTTGTGCTCCCAGTGTCTGGTCTTGGGTTTTATTGACTGATGCTTTTATGCAAGTTGAATGTCCTTCAGGATACTTAAAATGACTGTTGAATGTAGGGTATAGATACTTTGTGCCTTGAAATGTCCTTTTGCCTTCAGCTGCCTGTCTTAACAGAACTTGAAATGTTACATTTTTCTAAGAAAACTATAAAATGAACACAGTTTTCCTGTGTTAGAAAAAGTTAAACTGGTCACTTATGTCTCATTTGAAAATATACATGTGCCTGAGAGTTTGAGGCTGTAGCCAGGCAGTTTGGGAGGGTCATTATGGGGAAAGCTCTACAGGGCTTTGATGGCTTTTAGTCTAAGCTTTATTACAACAAGTAGAAGGTACTGCTTGTAAATATGTGGGTGGGAAGGTGGGCTAGTAAAATGGGGATTGGGGAAGGGAAAAGATGGATTTATTTACACTGAAGAGGTGAGCTCCACAGAGTGTGACAAACCATAAACTCTAATGTTCTGCACAATAAATCTGCCTTGCTGTAGCTTTCAGGTAAAATTCTAAAACAAACAAAATCCCAGAAACAAATAAACAAACCAATTTCAACAGGATTCTCTTAGAGAAGAAAAAGACTATGTCAGCTTTGGCAGAATTCTAGTTCTAGGAAGATCTGTGTTTTTCTGAAGCAGGTTCATTTTCTAAGTTTGCATCTATTCTACAGTTGCATTTCTCTTGACAAGACTTGCTGCTGTGTTGATTCTTCAGTGACCAAGAGACCTGTTAACTTTGCTCTAACCTGCAGAACCATGCCATTTGTATTTTTAAAACCAAGCAGTTTTCTCCCAACTTTGATCACTTTAAACATAAGGAGATGCTTCTCCACTCTGCTGCACAAACACTACAGTGACCTGCTGGTGTACCTGGACCTTCATCATTGATACTAGGACCAAGAACATGGTAAATGCCACAAAAGTGTGATATTTGTGTTTACTCTCACAGGATGAGTGTTGTGCATTCATTCTTTTCAAGCTGCCGTGCCACAGAGCACAGGAATAGGAATCTGTCTGTTCTTGTGACCAGATGGGGAAGGAAGAACAGGTAGGCAGAAACTTCTGGGGCTCGTGGAGTTTCACAGCCTTTATGTTAGTGGTTTTTTTCAGCTCTTTAGAACTGTATAGTGTCAGCACAGATCCCTGAATAACACATTTAAATGCTCAGGCTTTTTCTTCCCTAGACCAATGAACCACAAACAGAAAATCACTGCTTTAAATGCAGTGTTTTTTGCGTGTTTGCACGATGAGTTATATTTAGTGAGGCCTTCCCAGCCATTCTCCACTGGAAATGCCCATCTAGCTGACCTGCTGTGTGCTTTTCTGTGGAGAATTTGGCACATCTGGGAGCTCAGGGGAGCAGAGCAAGGCAGGATTTACACGAGGTTTGCAGTGCCTCAAGGATACCTATTTTGAGGAGTAAAGCAGAGAGGTGGTGATAAAACCAGGCCCCTCTCCTGTCTTTGGAGGAGGAGGAGAGTGTTTGTACTTGGTTTAGCAGGGTGTGAGGGGGATTCACGGAGCTGCTGTGCCAGAGGATGGCCTCGCAGATCCCGGGGCTCTCAGAGTTTCTCAGCGGGGTCTCCTCACCCAGAGAGGCGCAACGCTCCATTCGGGTGCTTTTGCTTTGTTTCTTAAAATCTTCAGGTCCTGCTGTGCCCTGAGGCAGCTCCTCAGGATCACCGGGGCAAGTTCCTCCCTCACTCCCTCAGGGGTGGCGGGGTCGGGGTGAGGAGGAGGAGAAGAAGAAGGGGGAGAAGATGGCGCCTGCCCTGAGGCGCTGCCCGGGACAGGTACAGCCTCACCCCGGGCTGAGCCGCCCTCACCCCGGCCGGGTCCCGGCTTTAATTAGCCGGGGGGTAGAGCGGCTTTCCCGCGGCCATCTGCAGCCCCGGTGACCGGCAGCGTTGCTAATCGCCGGGATAAGCTGCTTACAGAGCCCCAGCTGGAGCGGGCGCGGGGTCCGGGCGCTGAGGGGGACGAGGCGGGTTGTCCCTGCGCAGGAGGTGCTGACACGGAGGTGCCTGGCCGGTCCCCCAGGTCCTGGCGGGGCCCCGCGGTGGCGACTCTCAGAGCGAGTAAGTGCCCACGAGGAGCGCGGAGCCATCGGGGGTGCCGAGGGGGGCTTGGGGATGGGCTTCCCGCTCCCACCACCGCATCCCGGGACAGCGCTGGTGCTTGGATGGAGGCGCAGCTGGTGAGGGGGCACCGCTTGTGTTTGTGCCGTGGTTTGGTTTGTAAGGCTGAGCGGTGGGGAAAAGCCTTGTTTCCAAGGCACGCGAAGTGTGGTCTCGTTCTAATCACCGGTCCCAACTTGGAATGTGAAATGGATCAGCCTTGGTCTGCAGGGATGGGCAAACGGGCATTATGGCAGCGCTTATGTGTTTATTGTGGGTCTGGCATTGTTATCATACTGCAGAAATGGCATTCACTTCAAAGAGCTTGATTTCCTTTTCGTGAACTGTGCTATTTACTTCCTTTTGCTTATAACAACAGAAAGAACTTGATCATCTTTTATTTGCTTAATTGGATTTGTTTCAGGTTTTAAAGCATTAGTGTGTTTCTGCGAAGTGTTTATATAGGAAGCATGTGTTAAATGTTTTCGTTGGAAACATAAAAACTGATATGAAATCCATTGGTCATGGATTTTGCACTTCACAAAATGTGGAGTTTGCCTTAAGTATCTCTTTTGGCCACTGGAGAAGTTTTAAAAAAGCACTTCATAACATCTTGTTGTCTTTTGAGTAAGATTAAGTACTGCTTAGAATTGGTTATGTTAAAGTCCTGAGTGGCAATTTTGGGAAGGCAGACAAACATGAATGATTTTTAAAGGATGCTATTTCTTCCAAATCTCTATGAGACTGAAATTAGGAATGAGTGAGGTGAAGGACATACCCTAAAATAACCGTAGCAGTGTGTTGAGAACTTGGTACCTGACAGAAAGAACTGAAATGGAGAGCCAAGAAAACCAAATGAGTTGTCAAGAAAATAGATTATGTCCAGGTTCTTGAGCATAAAGTAGTCCAGGGGTGGGTGTTCACAGACTAAAACAGCACCGATAAACATGGTGGTTTCAGTCCTTTCACAATTTAAATCCTTTGTAACACCCTTTTGTGATACATTGCTTGTTGGCTGAATATTCCTGGGATGCAAAGAGTGCTTCCATGGAACACCAGTCCACTGCATTTTGTGGTTATACTTCATGCAGTGATGGGCACCCTAGGGAAGGCAGCTGTGCTTTGTCTGTTCACTCTGTAGTTGCCAACTTCAACTTAGCTGGAGAAAATAATGGGATCTTTCCGTTCATGGCACCCTCGGTGATGTATGAAAGGCAGTAACAGCAGTTCCCAGGGATAATTGCAACCCTGCCTGACTGTCTCCTGCTGCTTTAGAAGCTGAGTTTGTTCCCCAGTTTGTGGTGATTACTGAAGGAGTTTGCATGTGAGAGGGACAAGTGGGCTGTTACAAACAGGGATAACTGAGGCTAAAACGCTTCCTTAGACGAGAATGAGAAAAACACAGTTTGGAAACAGAGTGCAATTTGACAGGAAGCTTTCTGGGATTAGAGTGTGCTTGAAAAAGACAATGGGCATTGATTTCATAGGCTGTGCTGTCTCTTTTCAGATTGACTAGGGGTTTTAACATGATAGAGGTGTGTGTGTCTTTATACAATACCATTTTCACTTTTCAAAAGAGAGGTGGAAAAGAATGGTAGTTAGAATGACAGTGATTGACAACTTGCTTTTAGAATTTGAGGGAATGAAAGCACAGTCCCCTCAAATTGCACTTACCTGTTAGCAACAACTTGGGAATCTGTTCTCAGCATGAGTGTTATATGTATAACCATTAGACTTAGTGGCTAGACTGCAAATTAGGTCTCCCAGCTGTGCTATAACTGTTCCAGGTTAGGGGACAATGTTGGTTCTGTGGATGTGTAAACGTGGTTTCATCCTTTAGTGCAGACAAGAAGAAATTAGTCTGTAGAAGCTTGAACCTTTGCAGGGCTGTAGCATGAGACTTGGACAAATTTTCACTTGCTAAGCAGTGAAAGAGAACCTTAAGTTGAGGCCCTACCTCTCCTATCAGCCCTGGAGGAAATACGAGTGTGGAGGAGATTGGAGCTGAATTTCCAGTCAATGAAGAGGGGTAAGCATTGTACTCCATTGAACCACGTTGCTCTGACTTCTGTGAAAACATTTTCTTTCAGACCTGTTCTTGACTGGTGTCACGTAGATCTGGTGAGATGTAAAGCATTCAGGAAAAGCTGCTTTTTGTCATGGCAGCAGGATAATTCTGCTTTGCTAGCAACAAGTTCTTTTTGAGGCTGCAGGTGCATAATGCTGGAAGTCTTTGTTTTCCAGGTTTTTTTGTTGAGAGCTGAATCTGTCCCTTTCAGTCATTCCTGCTCTGCCAGACATGATTGTCTGCTGAGAAAAGGAAGAGAGTAGTGTCTGTAACACTTTGAGGACTGAGGCTGGTGGATTAGAGACAAGGAATTCATAAGGAAAGTACCGAAAGCCTTTGGCAAACTAGGCAAGATGTGACGGGAAATACACATGCTCCTTTGTTTATATTTCTTCTTCTTTTTCTTCAGAGCAAAGAAACGTTCAGAAGAACCTGAATTTTGATCTGTATTTTGGCACTAGAAGTCGAGTAGACATTTCTCATCCCTGGCTTGAGGCTGCAGCGTTCAGCGTAAGCCCAGGCAGACAGCAGCACAAGGCTGGTTGTGTTCCACACCTCTCACCTGGGAAGAGACATCCCAGTCTGAGACAGACTAATCTCTCCTGCCCTTCTCAGCTGTTCCAGAACACTGCCACTCAGTTCTCCAGTTTCTGCTTCCTGCAGCAGAATAGTCTCTGCTCTAGGCTGCAGCACGAGTGTGTGGCTCACAGAGTCCCCATCTTGATTTGTCAGTGCTCCCTGCTGAGAATCTCCCTTGCACCTTGAGGCTTGTGGTTTAGAAGGGAGAAGGAGCGAGAGTATTGACTTTCCTCAACACCATCAGGAAGCAAAGGCAGCTGGTCCCTGCTCCACACACACTCCTTGTCATCACTATTTACAAAATAGGAACAAGAATAGTGACTATCCAGTGGAAAACCCAACAGCATCAGCCTCCTGGCTGCTTCTTGTATGGATCCTGTGAACCCTTCCCTGGTCAATGCACATTTGTCATCTCACACTGCAGATTTCTCTCTTAGGGGTGAGGTAGGGGTGTGTCCCTCTTCAAAGAGCTCAAGTGAAAGTGTGAACGCTTGTGGTAGTTCAGCCCTGACCTTGGGGGATCTTGATCCATCTGGTTTGGACTCCTTTCAGTCTCTTTTGCAATCCTCACAGATTTCTGCTAGCTTGTACTGCTCAATCCAGAGGCTTAAGCAACAAAGTGCTTCGATGGGGATACGGGGCTCCCTCCCTCTGGAGCCCAGGTCTTCTCCAGTCAGTGGCCGTTTGTACTTAGCTGCTGATGATGCAGCTCCCAGTATCCTGACCATGGGAGAACATCTAGCTGCAGCAAGGACCAGTGCTGCCCAGGCAAGATTGAAGTGGGGTGTCCCCTTTGCTAAAGACTGGAGCCTTAGTGCAGTGGCAAGGGAATTCAGTCATGCAGAACCTCTCTCTGTCTCTCACAGATATGGATACATGGACTCAAACACATGGAGAATAAAAATTTCAGGTGTCATCCAACCACAAGCCCTTGCTTTTGGAGTGGGCTCTGGCAGGCTAGTGGATGCAGAAGCAGAATCCTCCTACAGTTGGTCCCCCTATTTCAGATTGCAGCCCCCGGCAAAGCCAACTCTGGAAACTGCTAGTCTTTATGTTCACACAAAAAGTCATTCCCCAAAAGAGGTTCTTAAAGGAGAAGAGACATCTAATGGGGCATCTCTGTGTGCTGAATCTTGGAAGGAAAACCTTCCAGCCAGTCTGTATCCAGAGGGTCTGCAGGTGTCACTGGAGACAGATTTCAGAGGGGGTCAGATGAACGTTGGTGTAGCCATGTATGGAACTCCAGGGGAAGTGTGTGTGAGGGTCGACTCTCCTCCTGGAGATAAAGAGTTTAGCCCAGGCCAGCAGCTTAGTGTTAAATCTGTAGAAGTCAACAACTCTGAACCTAGTGTTAAGTGCATCAAAGAGTCAGAAGATGTGTGTGACCCCAGATCAGGAGCAGCCAGAAGGATGGCTGTGGTGGGCAGCAGCCAGTCCAGCCCTTTGGGTATTCAGGGTGAAGAAGGCTTTGGTGAATATTCTCATGTAGATTGTATGAATGTGAGCAGAGAAGAAACAAACAAATACTCCTACCAAGGCAGCTGGAGGAATTTGGAAGATGATGCCAGTCTCAACCAGTCTGAAGACCATTCTGTGGAAAGGAATGCCAAAGAACCACGGTGCTGTGAAGAAGGGAGCCAGACACAGGGAACTGTGTCCAGAGAGGTGAGGGTGTGCTCACTGCGAAGCATCCCTGGTCACAGGTACTGCTTGTGCTTGTTTCTGCCACTTGCTAGAGGTGCAGAGCTGAGGTACAAGTGATGGGGATGCTTGTCCTGTAGTTTTTTCCTGGTACTGAATGGCCAGAATCTTCTCTCCTACGGTCCTGCTCCATCCCAACAGATGCATCTTTCCATCTCATTTCCTTCTTCCTAAAGACCAGCTTTTTAACTTGGTTTTTCTTGGGAATGTAAACACCTGTTTATGTTCTCTGGATCCACATGCTGAGGGAAAGCATTAAACTGGTTTTTACTCTGTGCGTGGTTGCAGGGCCCTAAGATTTCAGTTCTGCTGCGCTCTTCCACGTCTGAAGTATGTAAGAGTATTCCCAGAGCAATGGTGGGGCAGTGTCCAAGGCATCCGACATAACAC